CAGCTTGCTTCGTACAGTACAGATAAAGATTTCAGGAAGCTGGAAAATGGTGTGAAATGCATTCCCTACATTTCTGCTGCTAACCTTTCAGTTAAATCAACTTTTCTGTTTTATCTACTATGTTCTTGCCTGTACTTTCACTGACAGCTTTGCCGTGTCTAGAGACTATACTGAAAATGACAGCGCATTAATAAAATGCAAATTCTTCAAACTCAGTTGTGAAATAAGGGTTTCGTTGTTTGAATAACTAACATTATTGTCCATTTCTGTTTGCGAAATGCTATTATAAATTTCAGTCATGCAATGCAATGCTATTTTCAAGAAAAATTAAAAAGATATTAGAAAATTGAATGTACGACCCTATTGTATTGTGTTGTGCACTAAAGTTACATTTTTTTAATATCCAAGAAACATAGTGGCATCTAAAATATTTACTTGTGTGCTCTCAATGAAACACAAAATACCCATAAAACTGTTAAATATTTATTGTACTCTAAAAAAACCATTTAAGTGGAAGCAGACAGACCTGAATAGAACAACACTAAAACTGACGGGAGGCACTAGATATACCTAGGACAGTATTTCCTGTATGACAAAAAGTAGGCTAAACATCATCATTTGAGGCACTAGAATGTTCTCTCTGCATCTGTACCACAGAATACACATTGGGCATAGAAAGAATGCAGAAGATGTACATATATTATTCCATTTTCTCTCTCTCTCTATAGAGAGAGAGAAAATGAGAGAGAGAGAGAGAGAGAGAGAGAGAGAGAGAGAGAGGGAATTATCTAACTCCAAAAACTACTCTGTATCAGTTTAAGCTTTTGTCACTTTTTATTACTTTAAAAAAGTCATTCTCTATGTATTATACTTAGATTTTACCTTATCAGTGTCTGTTTTTAATTTCCTTTGAAAAATCTCTGGTAGTCCCTTTATGATTGAATTACTAAATGCTTAATTTGACCAGATGATTGGGTACGAAGTTGTCAATCAGTTTTCTATACCATGATTGGTCAGCCTGCTTTTGACTTGAGGTCCAGCACAGACCAGCTGTGTCCATTGTCTGTCCCTGTAACATGTGAGGAATTCTCCCCATTTAATGTACCCCCATTGCTCCCCCTCCACCCCCACCCAACCCCCATAAGATAGCCAGCTAGAGAAACGTCAGAGTGTTCTCCCACTTGGGTCTGTGGAGATGATCCAAACCAGAATGAAAAGTCATTGTATTGTGCAGGTACATCAGCATGTAGTGGGAAAATATTACTAAGAAAAGTAGAATAAGGAGAAATAAAATAAACTCAATAAGATATATCTGAGTATGGAAAAAGGACTGATTTGAACCGGGTCCCCAATGTTTGTAAATAAATAGTGTTATACACTGAGCATAGCTGTGCACTCATAGCAGCAGAAATATGCAAAAAGTCCAACAGTCCAGAACAGTGCAAACGTTGTGGGGATGAACTCAAGACTTAGTGATCAGCATTACTGCACATGGAAAGAAGCTGCTGAAGTGGCTTGATGATTTTGGGCTTCCTTCCTTAGGATGCAGAGGTGGATCTGAGGCTAGGGATCTGTACCTGCAATTAGAAGATTGCTGGTTCAAATCCCATGAATGCCTGGAGTGATCCTACTCCGCTGGACCCTTGATCAAGGCTCCTAACCTGCAATTGCTTCATCCTGGGTATGATGTTAATATACATCCAGCCCTACAAGCAGGTCCTCCAACTTACAGGGAATAATATGGGGGTTGGTGGCAGGATTGGCACTGCAGCCACTGGAAAAAACCTCACACCGGTCCATCGGCACTGTAATCAATGCAGGCTCCGTACCTCTTAACCAAAAATGTTTGGCAGAAGGTAGTCTTTGGTGTAGATGATTGCTGGGTGGGCAGGCTGAGCAATGACCTTTGCTGCACGCCTCCTGACCCCGGACTTACACAGGGCTTGGATAGGTGGCAGGCTACAGGCGAGGATCTTTCCGCAGGATGTGTTACTGCGCTGCAGTTTATCTTTGGCCTGCGCAGAAGCAGCACCAAACCACACAGTTACAGATGCGCTCAGAATTGACTTAATGACGACCGTGAACTAGACCAGTATTGGCCGTGGAATGTTGAATTTCTTCAATTGGCGCTAGAAGAATGTCCTCTGATGGGCTTTATGATGCATGTGATGTGTTCGTCCCACTTACGGTTCTGTGACAGCACAGTACCCATGAACTTATGAACTTGCTCCTTCATATTGCTCAGATTTGGCTTTCTGTGCTCACGCCTGCAGTGTTTTTTAAATATATTTTTGTTACTGATGCGTTTTTCCAAAAAAACAAAAAACAGAAAAAAACTTCATACAATATACATTAGCCAAATGCAAATTGTTTTGTTGTAGCTAGAACATTAAAATAAGGCAGTTTTAATGTTAATATTTTTAAGCATTTTTGGCTGATTAACAGTAAGTATGCTGAATGAATGAATGAATGAATGAATGAATGAATGAATGGACAAACTAATGAACGATCAAACGAACGAATGAAGGAATGAATGCATTAGAATGATTTTCTGTTGCAGTGAAAGTGTCCTGGGATTGTGCTGGCTAACCACACATGGGCCAGACTTGCCGTACCTCAGCATCCCCGACACCCCCACACTCATGCCTGTCCCCTCACTAGGGACCTAATCTTCATCCTGGGCTTTGGGGGGTCAGGGAATGTGACAGGCGAGGCCTAGTGGTCAGCCACTCAGGGGAGATTGCTGATAGTGAGAGTGAGGGCCCCCTTTATCTCCCAAAACTCCTCATGACCCTCCCCCACCTCAAATGGCAGCTCTACACCACAGAATCACAGCAATCCGTTACGCAGGACTCCGCTTACGTAAAGGTCAGTTTAGCATTAAGTAGCGAAAGAATGGGATCGCTGATAGCTACCAGAATCTGTAAACAAGCCTCTTAAAAATAACGTGGGCTTATATTTAGCACAACTGCGAGTGACATTGTAGGGTCAGCGGTTAGGGAAGAGGCAGGGACATCCGAAAGCTGCCGCCCCCTCGATTGTGTTCCCACACAAAGTCAGGAAGCCGGGCCTGAAAACACGGGCTGAGGCCAGGAGAGGCGGCCGGTCTCCGGGAGCCGAGGCACTAACACTCGCCGGCCCACCATCCAGCTAGGCGCAGACCCCCACCCCCATTGTCCCAGTGAGGAATTCTCCTGGGACCATATGGGGGACAGTGATGCATAAGAGAGGGGTGTGCAGAGGTGGGACCCGGAGACGGGCGCCCGCCCTGATGGGAGCTGCTGAACTAAGCGGGACCACCCCCCCAACTTTCCCTCATTAGTTGATCATGTCACACAAGCCTGTTTATTAAAGGGAATAAAAACTAAAGACGAAACCCGCGGAAACAAATAAAAACATTGTAGCGAGCAGCATCCTCAGAAGACAACAGGGGCATATGGTGGCAGTTATTCGTAAAATTTGTAGCAATATTTAGTATCACGTGTATTATTATTGTTATTGTTGTTATTATTATTCCATTCCTCTTTTTAGTTAACAACAACAGCAATAATAATAATTTTAATTATTATGACCCATCTTCCAACCATGTCCAGCCTTTCATGTCCTGGTAAAAGCCAAGGATTCCTTATGGAGCGCAGGGTGCAAGACTGGGGTACACCCTGGAGGAGGTGCCAGTCCATCACCGGACACGGGGCTGGGGTACACCCTGGAGGAGGTGCCAGTCCATCACCGGACACGGGGCTGGGGTACACCCTGGAGGAGGTGCCAGTCCATCACCGGGCACGGGGCTGGGGTACACCCTGGACGAGGTGCCAGTCCATCACCGGGCACGGGGCTGGGGTACACCCTGGACGAGGTGCCAGTCTATAACTGTACACACACAGTCACACACTATCAACAACTTAGAGATGCCAGTCAGTCTAACTGCATGTCCTTGGACTGCAGGAGGAAACCGATTCGACATGGGGAGAACGCGCAAACACCATACAGAGGAGGGATTCAAACCCCAAACCCTAACATTTAAGCTGCTTCTGGTCATGTATGTCAATAAATTACACTACATATTTAAAGGTTTTCGCTTTCTTTTCAAACTGCCAGTTAAAATAGTTTTAAATAGTGAAATGTTACATTTTGCAAATTTCTCTTTTTATGCTATAAATAAAACACACATACAATCTCTTCCTATCGGCGAGCAGACGGCTTGCACACTTACCGAAGCGCTGCAATCTCTTCCTACAGCACTGCGTGCTAGACGGGCTCCTACGCAGAATTCCGCAGATCTTTTTTCGGTTTATAAAACGGCTTGGTCTTTTGTAAAGGTTTTGGCATATTAGTACTTATTAATTTCTTTCTCCTTTACATGTTTGCAGGCAGGGGACTGAAGGTCATTGGATACAAAGGAGTGCTTTAAGACTCTGTCAAACATTTCCAGCCCTGTTAAAGAAAAAAGCATTTCCTAGGTGCACCGTCGCTCACACACAGGCCTACAGTAACACCGCCTCGCCTATTATATACGTGCCCCAGTTTGAACTATTGAATATGAACTATTTCAGCCCTGTCATATCTTTCAGTGGATACAGTACCTCTTGCAGTACTCAAGTTAAAATAAATATATGAATTTCTTTAATGAAATTGAATTATGCGTATTTGGGGATAACGACGCCGATTGTGCGTCTGGTTATTAAAAAAAAAGGAAACTCCGAGTCGTAATTTTTCAGGTCATCTGTACAGTATATTTCAGCTTTTGCCTCTGTGGCCAAATTCAATCCATAATCTGTGTCCAGAATTATGGGTTATTTTACGTAGCCTTTCGATTTAGGTTAAGGCGCTGCCAGACATTGTGGGACTTCGCATGAATCAGGGGGTAAAGTTTGGAGGAGGCCCTGGATTGGCCCGCAGGTTTCCCATAGAGATGGTGATGCGGGGGGGAAGGGGGCCGGACCTTCCCCAGCTGAAGCTCATCTCTAACATGAGTGTCGCTCATTGCCGTTGGCTTTTAACGTAATTGATCACCAAATCGGATCGCAGAAAGAAGAACGAGCACCGCGTAAACTCTCCCTTTAAATTTTTTGCTTCTTCTCACTTTTTCTTTCTTGATTGAATTTTAACCCAAAAAGAGCTTAATGTGAGCAAAGGGGGGGAATTAGAGCGCTTCTTTTTCCCTTCTCTCACCCTCACAGTGCACCTATCCACTAAATCACCTTTAGTTTTTTTTCCCCTCTTATTTTGTGATACTTCCTTGGATACTTCAGCTAAAGCACGGCTTCACTTTAGCACCCTTTCCCGAAGTCTCACCAAACGGCACCAAGATTTCTTCTGCAACTTTAAGGCACTACAGGGGGAAATCCACCAACGGGGGAAAAAAGCAAAACTTCATTTTTTTTTCTTGTGTAAAGAGGCGTTAAAGTTATACAATGAGTCTCAAATCTGATTCTGAGCCGAGCAACAACGTGTCAATAGAAGAGGAGGTAAGGGGAAAAATTGGGGCTTGTCTTTGCTGGTCCTATAAGTTTTAGAAAGCTGGACAATCAGTCGGGTCTGGTCCGGGACCTTCGGCAAGGCACTGGTTGCGTTACTGTTGGTAGCGATTTTTTTCGGTATAGGCTGTTTTAAAAAGTGAAATGTAAACCGATTGACGTTATATTAATGGTCCTCTGCTAGGTCTGTTTGTTTAGCGATTTGGTGACATTGGGGAACATGACTGATGTGTAGTGCTTTGCCGAACTTTCCGGGGTCTTACTGCATAGACTGAAACTTGCATTCAGTTAAAAAGAAAGTTGTGATAGTTTTGATTCTTTGATTAGACTTGAGATTGAAACATTTTATAATCGATGTGTCTTTTTTGCGAGACCCCACAAGTGGCGATCAGTGTCGGGCTTTGTTATACAATGTTATACGACGTTGCTGTTCCCTTTCACCTGTTACCGTCCCGTTGTAGTTTACTGCAGTTAATGCAAAGCGGCCGTAAATGAGTAAAAATATAAGTTTGTGTAACTTTACTCTACATTTGTGTGCTCGCTCCCTTGTACGAAACGGGTTAACTTTTTTTTCTTATAGTATTTTGAGTACTTCCTTGCTGCTCAGTTGTGTGTTAATTGCAAACTTATACTACTTTACCAGGAAAGACTTAATACAATTATTAGAGAATCTTGGGCTATTTTGATCGTACTTAATGATACTCCTGTCTTTGAGAACTGATTCCATGGATATATTTGATCGCAATGCAAAATTTAAAAACTTATTTCTATACCATTACCTAACTTGTGTAATTGAATTTAGCGGCTGTCGATATTTTGCAATTTTCCAATCTTGTTCATGCTGCACATTAAATGACGCCCCGTTCAAAATTACTATAACCTTCATGTATTTTCGCAGGCTTTTTCACGTAGACACACATTGATGCGCTCACTTAAGCGCTCCAAGGTACGGATATGACCGGTACCGGCGGCCGTGGTCTGCAGTCTGTCGGTCATGCCCTCCCGCTGCAGCGTGATGCCATACAGCCAGTCTCTGGCTCCCAGCTGAGAACTAAGGCATAGGCTCTGATATAGCTATCGGTCTGCTACTTGCATTCGCTGTAGTGATTAAAGTTCGGCGGCTGTTTTCTGTGGTAGAGCAGTTTTGATACTTGTTTGAGGCTTACTTTCCCAGCTGTATCAAACAACAAAAATTGACCCTCCTTGATGCCACAAACATTCATCCTTTGTGTCTGATTGCTGCGTCTATACCTAACTGGAAATCACAAATGTAGTTTTGTCAGTCTTAAGGTGCATGTATAAAAGCATTTCTAGTGTAATGTGTTGGATTTTCATACAACTTCCCTTGCCAGTGTTCATTGAAAACATTTTGCCCAACCATTGTTCCAAATGCTTTATGGTCCAGCTTTTCTTTGAGTGCTGAAGCTTTTATGTTCTACACTTAAATTTAAGAAACGTATAGGATTTTTATTTTTTTTTTCTGTTCCCACATATAGAAATGAGATTTTTGTGAGAATTAGTGTGGTGTGTTCTCTCATATGCATCTAGATACATGCTGTACGCCATATACATTTGATTAGGCTCTCCTTGGATATAATGTGGATTAGATTTTACATTGAGTTGTCCTATTTGATATAAACATTCCAAATGCTTGTTTTGAAAATGATTCACAACTTGGTAACTAATTTTTTAACTTGACTAAGCGGTGTGACATGTCATTTTGACAGCTTTTAAATTTGAGCCATAATGGGGTTTACAGTCTGCATGCGAATCGTGGGCACTTGGCCTGGATCTGCAGTTTGAATCCGATTATTATTGCATCCAAATTGGCACATTCATCATGACCCAACAGAGTGAACTGAGGATCAAATGTATTCCATTATGAAATTGCCTAAGCCAATGAGTTTTGCACTATATAGATGAAGTTGCCTCATTTTACCAACCATGAATGAGGCAGTTTCCTTTATGGAAATGTGTACCTAGTAGGAAACCTTGTGGGCAGTGAGGCCGGAGGAGCGTTCAGTGTCCTTGAGCCCTTCTTGGGGTTAAGGGCTTCTGTCAAAGCGAAATGATAAAATAATTATGCTGTCACCCTCAGCGCTGCCTGTACTCCCAACCTCTGTTAGCAGCTCTGCTTTAATGCCTCCAGTGCATGTTCTCCAATGTTCTTCAAGGCCCGGCCTTTTCCGGGATCCATTGAGATTCCCGGAACTTCTCCCTGTGATGTTAACTGGGCCACGCCCCAGTTACAAGAAACCGAGCCCGCTTCATTCTCCGTCCCTATTTAAGGTATTTAAGAATGTAATTGGCATCTGACAAGCATTGCGGATTCCCCAATTCTCACCCGTCGCATGGTCTTATCCCCAAGTAACTGGTACCCTGTGTATGGCTTAAGATGTGACCCAATGAGAAACTTACAATTTTGGCTGAGTATGTGACCCAAAGTGGGCCCCCCCAGATCTGTCAATATCTTACCTGTGAGTGATATGGGGTGGTTCTTGCATGTATTCTTGTTGAGCCCTCTAATGACCAGATATGAGATGTTGGTCTAGTCTAGTGTATAGAAGCCTACTGCCAAGGGTTTGCACCTTGCCGAAATGCATCATTGAGCTCTGCCCTTTTGACACAAGGCTCATTAATGCCAAACTGCAAACCGCATGACGTGCCTTAAAATATTCTGCACAATACTGCCCGCAGTGTGAATGCTTAGCTAGCACAGATGTTTGGAGCTTTTGACTTTGTATGTGGCTGAACAGCTATGCAACCTCCTGTAGAGCGTGGGCATAGGGAAGGAGGGCCTGTGCTTCGTCACTTATCGGCATGGAAGCTGATGACCGCATCGCTTTGGTATTTGGGGAGGGCTGGGGATCGGGGAGTCGGTCATTGCCCCCTGATAGTGATACTATGACTCAGTTTGGGTTTTTTCTTCCCCTGCCTTTTGGTTTTTATCTGGTGCTAATTCCACTCTTTGCTAAACCTGGGCAAGAACAAACAAGGAGCTTGGCTTTATTTAAGTCTGACTTGGTGGGTTTTGCCCTGTATTTTGGATTCTTAAGCACAATTTCTTTTGATGAAGGCTTTTGTTTGCAACACAAAGCATAGCAAGAGTTCAGTGTCTGCATGGATTGATGCATTCCTGTATGTATAGAAATGGGCAGTGTGCTAATGTGGTGACACTTGGTCTGGAATGCATGCATGTTAATGGCCGTTATGTTTGTGCGTTTTTGTACATGTTGGATATTCCTCGACATCAGAGCTTCTGGCTTTGCAGTCTTAGTGGTCTCTGGTCCTCCAGGTGTGTTGTAATTGCATTCAGTCCAGCCACAAGTGTGGTAAGGCTGGAAAAGCTACATTTGTGGAATATTTGCTATTACTTAACCCACCCCCACTAAACGGGGAGGTGGGGGGCTGATGACACTTTGGGGAAATTCCTGAAGTAATTTGTCTTTGGTCCTTTTGCATTGGATATGCAATTTTTTTTTCCTGTACTAAATGCTCAGGTGGGAAGACTAATGGATGAATAATTCATTCCTGTGTTTTGGGGGGAGTTAGACTTGTGGTATCGGTGCTGGTCGGGTGCGATCCTTCTCTCTCTAAGCTATATAAGGTGGTTGACTATCAGCTACTATGTAGCCTGTATTAAAATTCAATTTAATCTTGCAGCCTTCCTTGCAGTTGCTCATTTTGACAACTTGCGCTGGTGAATCTCTTAGGGGGTGATGTGTGCTTTTGTTTGGGAGTTCGCTGGTTCGAGCCTGGCCTCGGCAGAACAGTTGTGTGTTCGGTGGCCCTTCAGCATGGCCCTTCAGCATATCCCTTAACCCCCTGGTGCCACGAGGTGTCTGACCCTATGCTGTGACCCTATGCTGTGACCCCAATCTGGCTGTCAAGTGCATATGTGTCTAATGGAGAGCCTGATGGGGTAAACCGAATGGAGGAGGATATAGATTTTAGTCTGTTGTACATATTTTCCCTGAAAGCGCTCTGTCCATTGCTGGGCTGTGTATGCCACTCCCCTGTAAATCCTGCTGTACCACGCAAAGCCTGAAGGGGGCGCTCCCATAGCTGAATGTTATAACTCTGACCTATGGGGTCTGGGAGGTGGAGGAAGAGCAGTACGTGTTCCACCCCTCTTGTTTTGAAGTGTTTTCAGCAGTTTCAGGCATGCTTTATAGGCTTTTGGTCCTACGCCAGGCCGTGCTTAAAATCCTTTCTGAAATGCTGCTTTTTTTTAATGTAGTAAAGGTTAGGATAGGGAATTAGTGTGTACTGTGTTCAAATGACTGTCATGGTTTATTCATTTCAAATCTAAACTTAATGGTAACACTCCCCATTTTCAAGAGCTGTTGACTTTTTCCACTATTCTTAAACTCCATCATGAGTTATTTCTTGAGTTTATAGTGCATAGATTGTTCTGACAGTTTTTAGTGCGTGATTGGGGGGGGGTGTCTTGGGAAGACGTTTTGCCTGCTGTGATCTGAGACGGTTCCACTCTTGCCTATTAATCGGAATCTCCTCCTGCCACATGAACTGATCAGTCTAGTGCAGTGTTTCCCCATCCGGTCCTTGGGGGACCCACAGCTGGACTATGTTTTTGCTCCCTGCCAGACAGTCAACACTTGTTAATGGGAGCTGGGAGGGAGCAAAAACACGGACTGTCTGATTCCCTGAGGCTGGGAATGGGGAAACACTGGTCTAGTGTGTTGGGTGCTGAATTGTCCTTCAGTCTGGTTTTCTTTTTGTTAGCAAAATCTTCCGCAGCTTGCTGTCCAAACCTGCATGTGTCACCAGTTCACACTAACCTGCGTCGTGTGAAGGTGGCGCTCACACTCACAAGGCCTTCCCCTTCTAGGTACGGACACTCTTTGTCAGCGGTCTTCCAGTTGACATCAAACCCCGGGAACTGTACCTTTTGTTCAGGCCGTTCAAGGTAAGACGAAACCAGCTTACGAACGAGGTTGTTGCCCATCCTGTCTCCTTCCCCGTTTTGCATGGAGAGCCTTCCTGACAGCTTCCTCTTGAGTACAGATCGCAGGACTGGGCTGAGCTTTTTGCTTTGCACATGGATGGACCACTGGAATGTGTGAATAAATAATGGCCCAAGAGATTGGGGTGGGGGGGAGGGTGGTGGAGACTTCTGGTGATTTGGGTCTGTTTCTGGGTCCTTCTGTCTAGAGAAGGAAATGGAGCATTGTGATGGGGGGGGGGTGCTGAATTGTCATGTGGATGTTATGGAAGGATCTAAGATATTAACTTAAGCACTGAACTGCACATCCAAAGACTTTCTGTAAATCCTATTGAATTTCACTGAGATGGAAAAAGTGATTAGGTTAGTCTCCAAACGAACTGCCCAGAGTTTGAACTTGAGATGTGTGAACAGTCACTGTGTACAATTTGGTAACTTTACTTATCAACTATTTATCAGTAGGTTGGGATCAGATGTGAGTCATTTCTCAATTCTGTCACGTTTGGAGTTTAAGCACTTTGCTGTTCCCTATTGAGGTAACTTGGTTGTGAGGTAACGTCTAGTCTAGGCCACCCCCCTAGCAGAACTGGGGGGTGAACTGAAATCCATGAGACGATATGGTAAATGCAGTGAGCGGAAGCCTTTATCTATGCCTGAAGGCTACAGCACTGTGGAACAAGGATTGTCAGGTGTCTAAACGCCAGAGAGGTTTCTCAGATGTTGCTCTACGTTTCTGCTTCCTGCTGGAATCTCTAAGGCTGTCCTTGTACACTGTGGAGAAGTACAAACACTCTAATGGGGGAACTGGTCTCTGGTGGCAAGATGGGGGTGGTGGAGGAATTTCTAGCTTTAGTGCATGCAAGACTTTTTAAAAAAAATTTTTTCTCTCAATTCTGATTTTATTTCCATAGGGTTATGAAGGTTCACTGATCAAGTTGACGTCAAAGCAGGTGAGCCCTGATCTGCTGCAGAAGGAAGTCTAATGACTTTGACAAAGTAGATCAATGTATTGGTTGAAATGCTATGACTGTCCCAAATTTTGACAACCCATTTTACTTTTGTATGAAATCTTTGCCCCACCCAAGTATGTGGCCAGTGCCTTGAGCCTGTAGTTCAGACTATATCAGGGGTGGCCGTAAGTCATTTGGGAGGAAAGCATCCACTTGCATGGAGACTGAAATGCATGATGTTTTGATAGTTCAGACTTTAGGTGCTCAGTGACTTCTTCAGGAGCTGAATCTGCATGTTTGTGGGGCCATGGTTAAATGCACTAAATTATTTTCCCCTTTTCCCCTCATCCTCTTCCAGCCTGTTGGGTTTGTTACATTTGACAGCCGATCTGGTGCAGAAGCTGCAAAGAATGCATTAAATGTAAGCAACCACCCATGAGTAACCAAATGTGAAGGTGGCTGAGAGCTATTGAATGTGCTGCTTCCGCCCCCCCCCCCAGAAGATGGTATAATGGAATGGTCTGCTGTACCCCATCTGAAAATGTAGTGGTACTGTCCTTGATTATTTCCTGCCTAAAGTCCCTGCTCTATTCCACATTGGATGCTTGTCTTTTTTTTTTTTTTTTTTTTTTCCCCTTTTCTTCCCCCCCCCACCCCCCAAGCTTTGTATAGGCGTGCTTTTTTTCCAGGCTGACACATCACTTCTGTACCTCAGGGTATTCGATTTGACCCAGAGAGTCCGCAGACCCTGCGGTTAGAGTTTGCCAAGGCCAACACGAAGATGGCAAAGAGCAAGCTGATGGCCACCCCAAACCCCACCAATGTCCACCCAGCTCTAGGAGCTCACTTCATTGCACGGGACCCATGTACGTATTGGCTGCACCTGAGAGCTTGCCCACGCCCTCTGCTGGTGTTGTAAGGCTACAACAGGGCAAACTCTGTGTATAAACTTGGAGGTTTAGGCTCTAGCTGTTCATGCTAATATCACCCTTAGTCTTTGTGTGTGTGTGTCTGCATCAGAACCCATTGAGATTACATCTAGTTTGGGGGGCGGAGGATTAGTTTGGGTAACTGCCTGGGTCTTGGTACTGAGACTTCTGTTGGACTCTCCTGCCAACCTTGAGGGAGTTTGGAGAGCTGTCCGGTTTCATGGCTGCAGATTTTGGCCTGAGTATCGGCTGGGCTGATTACAATGCCTCACTCTATAGCCGTACTTGAAACGAGATCCTTCCATTAGGTCTAATGAACAGCCGGCACTTCAAAGAGCGGCTGCTGCTGTGCTGCCCGGGTCCTGTGAGGGAGTTAACGCTGCGGCTTTGGGGCTGGTCCCGCTGCCGCCCTCCTGCTCTCCTTTTCCAGATGACCTGACGGGGGCGGCGTTGATCCCCGCGTCCCCAGAGGCTTGGGGCCCCTACCCGCTGTACACCACGGAACTGACACCTGGCCTTCCGCATGCCGCCTTCACCTACCCTGCTGCTGCCGCTGCCGCTGCTGCCCTGCATGCCCAGGTGAGCAGCCCCTCCATCCTGCCTTCAGCTGGTGCCATAAGTGGGTCTCTGTTTTGGGTCACATAGGATGTGTGAATGGAGGGGAAAGAACAGTCATGGACATCTACTTCCTGTAATGGATTTTGCTAGGGGGCAGACCTCAATCCTCAAACGGCACCTTGTGGAAAATATAGACAAAGATCTGACCCTAAATTTGTCGCCCAGGTTACATGGTCGGCAGCATCTTAAACTTAAACCCCCCATTTTTTTTCAAGAATGTAATCCCCCCCCCCCCCTTCATCGATCTGAGTTCTGTGTTGCACCTATGTTCCTGAGTTAGGAAAGATAATCAGTAGTTTTTAATATCTCCTCAACTGGAACAAAATTCTGCATACAAGGTTCCAGACAAGCCTAAATAACCAGAACCACCCATTTCATAAGGGAACAAAGTGTCCTTTCTGTGTTTCGCTGTTATGGTGAATTATTGAGAGCCAAAGGTCAGTGGTTAAAGAATCTGGCCAAAAACCATGCTTTGCTTTACCTGGCTAGAGCAGTGTCCAGGTGTGTAGCTCCACAAAGCCGGAGGAACAATCTCTCTGCTGCTCCAGTTTCCACTCTGCATCTTCACTGGGCTTTTAAAGGAAATCGAATTGGTCTTTCACACCCTCTTTGTGTGTAGAGCGAATATGGCATTTCTTGCTCAGATTTCCCAGCAGCCTTTCTCCCGCCATTATGGATGCTGCTCCTCCAAGTAGCCGTGGCCCCGTGTGTAATCCCTCTGTGGCAGTTCACTGCTGGAGGATTCCCTACAACCTCGTTAGTCCAGCTTTGGTCCATGCTGTACTGAAAGCAGGGAAGGGCTGTTCGTGCTGACTGGGCTCGGCACAGGAGCTGCTGCAGGGGTGCTGGCCGCTGTTCACTTATTTTCCATGTGGGGATGAATTCTAATTATCTCAGTGAAGGTACCACCCTGAATCTGTAGCCCTGGGGGTCCCTGTTAGAGTGGGGAGGGGGAGGGGGGAGGGAGGAGTGTGATCTCCATTCCTGCGTTGTGCCAATCCTCACAAGGCCACGGGCTGATTTAAACCAGTGTTTCCCAACCCTGCCCTTGGGGACCCCCACTGAGCTCCTAGCCAATCAAATCCCAAATACCTGGTACAGGTTTGCTGGGAGGCAGGAGGGACCAAAAATGTGGCCTGTGTTGGGGGGGCCAAGGGCAGAGTTGGGGAGACACTGGGTTAAACTTCCATTTGTATTGGTCAGTAAACTGAGGCTTGTTTCCTGTTGTATTTTGGATGACAGACCACAGAACCACTGGTATTCTTTCTTTAGATGCGCTGGTACCCGCCTCACTCTGAGGCTTCCCAGTCAGGGTGGAAGTCCCGTCAGTTTTGTTAACTTTAGTAAGTATCCTACATAGTGATTTTTTTCTGTGTGTCTGTGTGTCTGTGTGTCTGTGTGTCTGTGTGTCTGTGTGTCTGTGTGTCTGTGTGTCTGTGTGTCTGTGTGTGTGAGATTTTATTATATATAATAAGCTTTTCCGTTCCCCCACCCAGGTACCATTCAGTATCTGAAGTCCCTCACGGAGTGAGGTGTAAAGCTCTACATTAATTTAATCAAGTATATTTAATGGACAGAGGTGCATTATGGACTCTTCTCCTTCGGAAACCCTGACGGACTTTGGACCGAATACATCTTGTGGACTGCAGAGCAAAGTCGAGGCCTTTTTGGGGGGGCTGTGGGGTATATCCTAATGCGGTACAGTCTTTGCACTTCAAAACCTTGTGCAAGCGAAGTCGCTACAGAAATGGGCCTGTTTTTGCTGAAGGAATACAGCTGCTCAATCAAAAGTGGGGGGGGGGGGGGGGGGGGGGGTGAGAGTTTGTTATATTTTTGCATGATTAAAATATCCAGCATGAAGAAAATGCAACTTTCTGTATGTTCCATTGTGCTTGTGTTGCTTTAGGTCTTGGCCTAGTCATTTAAACTTTTCATTTAATGTACTTTAGTCTTGCTTCTGTGAAGGCTTTTTGACTTGAATTGTGTATGTTGCTTGCAAGGTAAAGGCCAGCATTGTTTTTGAAGTGTTTATATTAATGTTGTTCAGAATGGATAACTTATGCACTGGGTTATTTTCAATCCTCATAGTAAATCTCCAAGATTTTCTGATAGTTTCTTCACCCTGTCGGGCCTACCTTTTGATACCCTGGTCTTGCCAAAATAGCCCTGTCTAGAGTATATTTGAACAAATGAGTACAAGTGTTTTTCATACTTGTGTAATTTATGCATTTTGTGCAATTCAACTTTTTGGTTTTTATAGATCCTGATTTCCATCATTAGCTGGTTTTGAAGTTTAAAGTGCTTTTTCTTTGCTTGGTGTTAAATACTGAAATATACAGATGATGGCTAAATTGCTAGTTTGAAGACTGCTGATGTGTGACTTAATAAAAAATGAAAATAAAAATTCAAAAATGTGAAACTGGATAATAAAATGAATGATGATTAAACTGGCATTGAGTGATTTGGAGTGGAGTGAAAACCTAACAGGAACGTGATTACATGTCAGATTACACTAACTGAAGGATAGTTGTAGCTTGGTCTCTGTATGGCCAGGTGTATGACATGGTGGTTCAAGTCCTGACTAATTCTACTTGCCCCCTGTTGGGCTTTTGAACAATTAAGTGTCACATGGACCGAACTGGACGGATGCCAGTGTTTCTCCAACGGTCAAAAATGTGACCTTGAGTTTTCAGTTACTCAGATTATGGAGCTGGGAGTTCTGGCCATTGTGTTTGGGGCCCCAGTGCAAGGCGTCTCCACAGCTGACCTCACCCAATCAGAAGTCTGGCCTGAATTATGGTCCAGTCTGATCCTGTGTCATCTCCAGGTGAAGACGAAGAAATGGTCACATGTTTTCTCTCGTTTCCGAATCAGTTTCCCCTTCAGTCATGTCCTGCTATTCTTTGTGTTTTACGTCACTCTTGATGTGCTTCCTCAAGGAAACTTCACTGTTTGCATGGTAGGCAGCTGTGGGCTCCTTTTATTGGCCTCTATGCCTTTATCAGACGGTGGTGAAGACTCCTGTTCTTGGCACTTTTGCCATAAATGTTTGTCTGCCCTGCAGACCATGGATACATTCACTAAAGTTATTACCCAGTACATTACTAAGAATATGGTGGCAGTGGTGGCTTAATGGTTAGGGAAGCGCACTCGTAATCCGAAGATTGCAGGTTCAAATCCCCGACCAGCAAGACACCACTGAGGTACCCTGAGCAAGGTACCGCCCCCAAGCACTGCTCCCCGGGCGCTGAATTAGCTGCCCCCTGCTATGTCACGAAAGTCACATATGGGTTAAATGCAGAGGACACATTTTGTTGTTGTGCACTGTGTGCTGTAGTGTGTCAACAATGACAAATAATCACAAATAAAAAAAAAATAACCCCCTCCCCCCCAAAAGCATTTAAAGGGTTCACTATTTATTTTTGGGGTCTACTAGAAAGTTTTACATTCTCCAGTGTTCTAAAAACATCACATACTGTACATCTATACTCTGTCTGACACAGCCAGCGTTTCAGTGCGCTCTGATTCGTCAGTTTGCCCTACATGTTCCGCCTCTGTCTTTCAGTCTGTGGACAGATCCTTGTGGATCTGCTGGTAGTAAGGTTTGTGTTACTAGGTGAGCTCACCATGTCGCAGAAGTAAGGGCTGGAATTCCGACGAGGCGTTTCAGCCAGGTTATAAGAACGGTTTCAGTGGTGAATTGCTCTCTTCGGTCTGTACTTTGGGCCTTAAGACTTCACATGCACATAAACCTATATATCACACTAAAAGGGAAAAACCAGGAAAGCATAATAGGTCCCCTTAAAAGCTGCATCCTTTTGGGATATGGATACTGTTTATGTATGAACACATAACATAAGCTTTGTGTGGGATTAAATTCATGCTTCGGGTATGTAGGGGAATACATTGTGATATATTTGGCTTGTTGGAGTACAAATGGGTGCAGGATTGGCACTTTGTGTCCAGTTAGTGAGCAAAGTCTTATGTGCTGTAAATTGATAGCTTAATCTGCAATTAAAATGAAATCTCTTTTTTTCCATTCCTTAATTATATGAAAGTTGGGGATGGGGGACTGGCTTCTAGCCCATGCGGTGTCCCTGCCTTGATCATGCTAACAGGTTATTATTAACACTGTAATAACTTGGACTCTGTAAAATTCTATCTGAAATGTCACTTCAGGAGATCTGTTTCATCGCTCAGTTTATCCATGTTTACTAAGCATGTTTTCCTTTGTTCTGGTTTGGGGTTTGACCCAGTTAACAGGGACTGATTCAGGACAGTAGGTATTTGTTCCTCCTCGTGCTAGTGGGTCTTTCTGTGTGCCCTGGTTAATTTACAGCTATAGTCCCCTCTAAATGCATGACTGGATCCTTGTCCTAGTAGCAGGTCCAGATATCATGCCAGAAATATTCCCACTCAACCGTTCAAAAACCATGATGAAGGGACTCCTTACAGCATCATTTTTATCAGAGCCTTCAACTCGATTAAAAACAACTTATTTGTGAATGGTGAAGATTTTAGCACAGTGCTTCTCAAACCATTCCTCAGGGGACACTGGACAGATCTGCATTTTTATTTTATCCCAGATCTCAGAACACCTGACCCAAGTAATCAGGAGCTCTAAACATCTTACAGGTGGGCTGGGAACTGGGATAAAAAAAATTAAATTGTGGATCTGTCCAGCGTGCCCTGAAGACTGGTTTGGGAAACACTGTTTAAGCGTATGCTAAACTGATAGCTTTAACTTTTCAAAAATTAATTATTTTTATAGTCGTGCTTTTAGCAGCTTTGCTGTGTTTACTGTCTGAGCCCAGAGTTCTGCGGTCCCTCTTGAACACTACTACGGAAACTGTGATTTTTGGACGGTGGCGCCCTCTGCTGGGGGAAACCATAAACTACACGAATGCACCATTCACGTGTTTACTTGTGGAGATTTAAAACCTTTAACTTTTCGTATTGTTTTTACTGTCGACGTCAGGATTTTTAAGTCGTTTTTCGTCGGCCATCAAGTCCACAGTGTGTTTAATTGTTAGATATCGCCATCAAAGTGAAAAACTAGAGCGGGCGAACACATTTAGCCTGAGGAAATCATACATGATTTAAAATGTCTTTTCTAGGTTTTATGTCCACTCTTTCCCGCAATCTCGCGTTTCAATTCACTCATTATTTTGTAGCAAATTCGCGGAAATAACAGTCGAAATGTCATCACATAAAGGTATATTTAGCGATAATATTATCGACATGTTGCTTGGAAGAAATCTGTCAGCCTCCGTGATCCGATTGCGATGGAGGCTTTTGCGTCACACCGCTTATATACATATAAGTCGAAGTTGGTTAGAGTGGAATATGATTCGTTTGGCTCCGGTATTCCGTGTAAGGGGAACTGTAACCGATTAATAATCAGTCGTTTATGTTTCAGGGGCATCTTTTTTATTTAATGGCCGGCTGTATTGAGTTCTGCTTTTATGTATGCCTGAGCACCGTAACCTGTTTTCACTTAATAGTGGATTAAACTTAAAATGAAGTTCTAACGTATTTTTTTTTACCGTTTCGTGACCAACTCAGCACGAGACCTACTTGTTACATAAAACAACCTTTGCTGCCCTCTATTGGTCGATAAATTACTGTACACAATTACTGTACCCACACATCCTGGTCTGGGTCACAGGCCGGTCTGAAAGCTATCCGAAGCAGTATAGGGCACAATGCTTGAGTACACACAGAGTTTCAACTGAAGAAGATGATTCCGCTTGTCTTTACTTGAAAGTTTTATTGATTAACGCAAAATGACACTCCAGAAGTAAAACAGTTGTTAACTGTAACCCCCACTTTACTCACCCGTGCACGTGCTCATTCATTCCATCCCAGCAATATTATTTCAGGGCTTGTCGGCTTATGTTTGGGTATTTCAAATATCTTGACACCTCTTTTGGAGATTTTCTTTTCTGTCTTGTAACCCATAATATTTCTATAGGCTACAGTAGGTAACTTAGCTCACAGCATCTAGCATCAGAGAAAAATGATCAGTTTAGTGCTATAAAACAGACCCTGAATTAAGGGCGCAGCCTATGCAGGGTTATGCATCTCTCATGCATCTGGCGTGACATGCTTTAAATACTCATTTATCTACTGCACAAAAGCAACAAGAACGACTAAATTAAAATAATATCAATTTACAGGCGAATCGACTACACAAACTACAATTGCCTTGCTCTGAGTGCCGGGGGACATAACCGGACACCCCAAGAAGGAATCAGCCTGGTGCTTGGACGGGATGGCATGTTCTGAAAAGCTCCTCGTTCGTGTCCATGTTCATCATTCCATTTAATTAAACTCAAATAGAACGAAACATATTTGTTTATTTTCCGTTTCTTTTTTATATATACTCAAAAGGGAATTAAGTGAAACAAATAACAGAGTAGCGGGAAGAAGCGGTAAAAATAAAACTACTTATATGTTTACCTGCGGGATTTTGCGGGCGGGAGCGGGACAAAACTTGAATACTGCGGGCGGGAGCGGGAGAAAATATATATTTTTTGCGGGAGCGGGACAGAATCTTGTGGGAGCGGGCAGGAGCGGGACTGAAAAATCAGTCCCGCGCAGGTCTCTACACAGAAGTGCTAATTAAGGATCTTTGTGTCTTAGTGTTCTCATTGCTATTTGCACTGCCCGCTTAGCATGTCCATTTCCCGGTGGGCGATGTGGACTGAATGTGACATGCTCAAAGTTCTGAGCTGCTCACTGGAGTTCCGAGGAACGTTACCGGACACCATGGCCTCTGGTACGCCGAACCAAGCAACAGTACCTTTCAGTTTTTCCACAGCCTGTTCTACCGCCAGAGCTGATAAGTGCAACATCTCCAAACACCTGCAATAATAGCCTGAGACTGTAAATATGTTCTGCTAATATGTTCACACAAATCTGTTTCCACATGCTGCCATGGTCCTTCCAGTAGGGGTGTTGGGCTTAGCGGCTCTTCTCTTTCTCATACTTTTGATACTTTTCCACTGTGCTTTTCAGATCTGCTGAAAGACTGGGCCACCATGATGTGGACTGAGCTCACTCACTTGGCGATGCCCTGGCAACCCTCATGGATTCTGTCAATTATGTTTGCTCTCATTTCCTCAGGAATTATGATGCAACTGCCTAATATGACCAGGCCATCACTCCCCGACAGCTCGTATCTGAATGGGTAAAAGTTTCTTACCATACCTGGCACATTGTATTAGTGCAATGACCTTTTGAAGTTGTTCATCACACTTAGTGGCATGTTTGATTTCACAAAGTTTTGTCAGATGTTGGGAGGCTGTCGGTGATGGCTCCCACAAAGCTGTTCACTTCCATGTCAGTGCTGCTGTTCAAGGTGTTTGGTGGACGTCTGGATAAGGTATCAGCTATATTTAATGTCTTCCCCGGTACGTAATCTGCAACTGCACCAAATCGCATG